AGAGACAGGCAGCCAAACTTATTAGGTAGACTGCAGGCAGTTGTGCAATTAACTATAGCTGCTGGTAATATTGGTAGCAGAACCTGCCAGGTAGATTACCCAGATTACAGGCAATTCCAGACAGAGGAAAGGTACAGGCAGTTTCAGATATTAGAGAGTTGGCTGCCAACATATTACTGAAGATATGGTCCTGTGGCAGCTTGAACGTTTCTTATTATTTTCTTATAAGACAGAAGTGAACAAATGTTGCATTGAAGAGAAAAGATGTTATGGAGAGGAAATTTACTGTGAAATGGACCCTTTTGAAAATTTGTCTATAGAATCATGGGTACCTCCTACCTAGTAATTTACCTGCAAATAAATTGTTTACTCAAGGGATTGCAGAATAGTTTATTCTTTGGCCAGTTAATTAGTATCTTATATAAAACATGCATTTTTCAGATGAATATGATTCCATACCATATAATATTGAATAAACCCTTTTACTGAAAGATATTTTATTTTGCTATTCAATTTCACCCTAAAAGATGACATATAGATTTATGTTTATATGTTTTTGTTTTTTTTTTCACATTCACATTTGGTCATTTTGAAATAAACAACCTCACAATCAAACATGAATTTCAACAAGAATTCTTTGTATTTAAGTAAGCATCAGGCAGATTCATCCTGCTGATAAAAGTGAATTAGGTATGACACTCTGGAGGGAGACCAAGCTGTGATATTGCTTCCTACAACAAAAAAAACTTGACGTCTGCTTCAAAGGAAGCATACAAGGAAGGGGAATGAAACTGATATACTTATGTTTTTATATATTTTGTCCTAGACCAGTTTAAAACCTGGCCTTGACAGTATGAGTTCATTACCCTTTGTTTAGACCAACAAAAGTCTGCATAAAAGACAATACTTCTGTGTCAGTTAAGGTGCTTGCTATTGGAACTTGTCTGGCTGATGTGTAATTTTAGATAATCACAATGAAGAGATTGACTGTTTATTGTATTAAACTCCCTAGCCATACCTGTATGTACAAAAGTTGTTATAAAGTACAAAGATGTAGTAGTGTTCATAAAACTTCGTGCATGTAACATCAGTGGAAAGTGGTTTTATGGTAAAGACTCAATCTTTTGGATACATATTAATATTAGTTTTGAAGTCATTAAAAAGCATATTCTGTATAGCATTTTTAATGCTTTAAATGTGTAGAATAGAGCTATAGGGTACTGTGTTTCAATTTTGTTAGTACCACTGAACAGTGATGTTCCAATTTTAAGAATTTATGACTTTAACAAAATTCGGTGTCAAAAAAAATTTACAATTTTCCCCAATGAAAAGATTGATTCATTAGTGTTTTTTTTTTTTTTTTTTTTTTTTTTTTTGGGGGGGGGGGGAATGTAAGAGTGATGCATGTAAAGAAATTGATTTTATATATTTTACTGAAATTGGTACAACTGCAGTTTGATATTTAACAAGCGGGAGAGTTGTTCTCATTCTTAATTGCTCTGTTTCTCTGTCGTTTCAGTTTAGCCAGTTTTGCTGCCTCGCTGACCTGCAGAGTGCAGTGTTGATGTGTTTATACCTCCGTCCACAACCAACGCATTAACACGCGATTACCGCCAAGAAAATCCCAAAGTCGATTAATCCCAGGAATCAAAACTTGTTTAAAAGCACCTTATCGGATGAAATAACAAATATATAATAAATAGTTCCAGCACCTCATTCAGCTACTGTTTACGGGTATATGGTGGAGGTGTAAAAACGGTGGGTGTTGTTAGTGTGAAGCCTTGATAAGTTGAAATTGATTGTTTTTCTAAGACTTTTCATGGACCAACATATTGAGAGGCGGATATATTGGAGAATTACTAGTAGGGTTATTCAGGACAGTTTGGATGTTAGACCAGGGGACAAAATTTGAAATTTGGAAGAAAGAGCCCAAGTTTTGAAGATTTGATACAAGCACCGGGAAGCAGCAGTTCCAATTTTAAGGAAACATTTGTATAATACTTATAGTCAGCAAGTGGAGGAAACTATAGGACCAGGATTAGATAATATCATTACATGCAGTTCCAAAACTGTATGCCACAAGCGACAATTACATATTGAGAAATCATTTTGATCAAAAAGGGAATTCAGGACATTGAAGAAAACAGAAGGATTTATATACTTGCATTGCTGAAATCATCCCAGGATGGCTAGAGAGAATGCTGTATTTGGCATCATTGTGCTAGGACTTCTGTACAGTTGCTATTTAGTTGAAGATGTACATGGACAATGCACAGGTGAGTGTAAGCATGGACAAAGTACAGGCAGTTCTAGATCGTGAACAAAAACATAGATATCATTATTGTTATAATTCTAAATCAGGATAATTTGTTATTAATTTCTAATAGCTTTATTTGTGTCTCCAATCCATTTATGAACTGTGTGACCAAGCTGTTTGACAAACTCACAGGTAGGTTTTGTGTAATCTTATCAACACCTGCCTCTGATCATGCTGTCTGTGTCACTGCAGCATGTTCCATCCAAACCATGTGGACCCTGTAATTGTCAAAATGTATCGTTGTTTTCTTGTTTGCTTTTACTTCCAACGCCTTTTTTCATGTTCATTGATAATTTCAGTGTGATAATTAATTTTCTTTAGAGTACAGATTTGGAAATAAAAATTGGCCAAATTCGCTCATCATACACAGTGAGGTTATTAAGGGATTACAAATGTGATTTTTTAAAATATTTGATTATCAAGAGAGCTTATGTACCAAAGGAAATCGATCTGCTTATGACACATTTCCTCTTCCTAAATTTAGCTCCTTAGCAAAATTCATTTTTGCTTATTTGGTCATTGTGGCTTTGTTTTTTCCTCTATTTCATCATTAGTCAGTTATGTAGGTGAGACGACAGTTGAGTCATAAACAAAGTAAATAAATCATGATCAGCAATTATAAATTTGGCAAACTATATTTTTAATGGTGAACATCTACCTGCAATTACACTCCTTAAATTGAACACAAAGTTACATTTTTAAGGTCATTTTTCCACAGAGCAAACAGATTATAGAATTTATGATATCTGGATTTTTCAAATTACTCGTGCACACACTGTCCACAGATTTCCTTAATCAATCACGTTGCAGTATTTGCAACTGTTAGGTCATGTTTTGTTGCCCATATAAAAGGTTCCAAGTGTATATTTATTGAGACTTATGGCCATGATCTTTCTATACAAGTTTTAAACTGACATACAACTGTTCAAATAATATTCTATGGCTACGATGTTTTTACCTCTCAAACCTTCGGCTCAATCCTAAAATGGCACCTGCCCTACTACAAGCTGTAAGGGGATAATTAACTTTTGTGTCCACCCGGCTGACAGCTATTTAGCGTGAACCCCCAGGGAGTTAGGTCGATCTAAAGTAGGTCGATCTAATCTATGGAAATGGGGTGTTAGATTCCACCTCAACAAGATATTTTTATTTGTCTAAGGGCTCATTACCATTGGGACTATCATTCTATGTAGATTAATCTAACTCTGCGGGGACTCTCGCTGAATGCACAAATGGAGGTTTGAAAATGAAGAAACAGGAGCAGGAACGGATCTGAACATCAGCTAGGGTATTACTTTGTAGGATTTGTTAGACAAGGTTTATTTTCCTGGTGAGAGTTGTTTCCAGACAAACTGCCAGATAAGACACAGATCAGACAGGTGAACTGGGCTCTACTTAGTGATATAGGGTTAGATTCCGGAGTCAACTATTTACTTGAAATTAGATTTAGTCTTCTGTTGGAAACTCTGGTTTACCTATCCTGGCTCTTCATCTCTGTCTATTTGCTCCTCCCCTAATCATTTTCGGTCAAAACCAACATTTTGATCTTTTTTCTTTTTTGAATTGGTATTTTGTCATTGTTAGCTATTCTATTTCCAGGTCATGACATTTTGACCAATTAAACCCTATGTTGCAAAAGTTCAGGTTTGGAGAAAAGATTTTGAAGTTTGTTCGCACCCCATCCGCAATAATCTGAAACTTTGGATGATCACAAACCTAAGATTACCGTAACAGAAAATTTGGAGTGTGTACAGCATATCTAATGTTCAAAGCAAACATCTTTTTAAAGATTTACCCTTTTAAAACTGGCAATCAATATAGGTTGTTGGGAAAGTCCAAAATCAGACCCAAAGAAATGAGCATCCAGTATTGAGGCATTTGGAAAGCTCATCAGAGCTTTTAGAGCCTGCCATCAATATATAAAACAGAAGACCTGAGTCTGCAGACATTCAGATCATTGCAAGCAAGTTGCGTGCACTTATTTAATTGCATACTCTTACCTCATAGTCATATTCTTGACATTTGCTAAATATATCTATAGAAAAAGCACTCGGAGAATTGAAGGGCAGATACCAAAATCTTTCTTGTGATTACTAGAGTAAATGATTCTGAAAAAAAATTATCATATAACTGTTGCCATTGGAAAGATGAAAAAGAAATTATTTTTCTGGACATAAGGTGAGAAATGGCATGATTGTAAAAAATTGTTAAACCCCCTGCAAAATTCTAAATTTATCAGGAATTTTTCATGCTATATTAATCCTGTGAAACAATGTTGCCAAGAAAATTTTGCATATACCGAAGTTTCATATGAAATGATTCCAGAGAAGGCACATTCTACAACTCAGTATGAGGCATCCAGGCATATTTACTCAGAATGTAGCTTTTTTAGCATACATAACAATGCTGAATATGCCTCTCTGACTTATAAACTATTATGGCACCCCATTCTTAAGATTGATATGTAGAAATGCTGGCTGCGATCTTTCATATTAACCAGCTCCAGTTGAGCCATGATGCAACATGGCTGCTACAGGGATGACTTGCAGTTTTGTAATGCCAAGAAACAATGAGATGTCTTGTGCAAATGTTCTGCATAATGTAAAGTATTCTACACGATGTGACACGTACAATACATTGGCGAAAGCATCGATCTACAAAAAAAAAGGGGGGGGGGTTGCTGTTATTCAGTTAATTTGAATTGCCAAAACACATATCTGCTAATTATTTATTCTTCCATTATGTAAATGTTATTAGAAAAAGATAAATCTAAAAATAGACACAGAAGAAAAAAAGGTACACATTTATTTACACTTTGTAATTTTGGTCTATTTTATAAATGTTTTAAGTTAGATGTTTTCAGCAGAGTTGGATCGATCTACATAGACCTATAGATTCATTGGGAATTAGTCCTAAGTCTGCCAAGAAATTTCTGCCATTATTCGTGACCCGCTCTCATCCCAATACTGTGAAATCTAAATTGCAAGACTTGGGGCTAACTTGTATGATTTTCAATATTTGTGATATGTGCCTTTCTTCATTGCAGCTAAAATGTTCGATTTTTTAACAACACGTTTTGTTTCAGATCTATGGAGTGGTCCCACAGAATACCCGCCATACATAGACTTACAGCCAGATCAACTGATGCAATTCAAGAAACGTCTGGCATTCACCATGGAGTGTCAAGCCAGTGGAAACCCAGCGCCAACGTGAGTCAAGATATCAGTCCTAACAAACTGACAGTGTCCTATTATAACTTTGATAGTCATATGATAACAAATAGTTTACAGCTTCAGAATTGTAATGTTCAAAAAAGTATGTCTCTAAAGATCAACTTCTGGAAGACCTGGAAAAGTGTCTGTGTATAAACTCACCAATTTTTATTTCATTTTGATTAATGTGCTTTAATTAATTTCTAAATACACCAGTGATCAGCCTGTTTATTTACATGTTTCTTTGTTTTTTATTTAATTTTTAAATTTTTGTTAATTTATTTTTATTAACGTATTTTTTACTCCTAGCCATATTGCCATGTTTTAGTTAATATTTAATCCTGATTTATGATAATATATTATTAGTTTACATTTTATGTTAACATATGATAATATATTACGAGCATATCCCTTCAATTAACATAAAACAAAATGTATGTTGTAATTCAGTTACACGTGGTATAAGAATGGCCAGCCCTTCAATCCCAGTGGGGATACCACCATGATGACTGGCCTGGGAAATCTGAACTTTGCCAACCCTAAAGAAAATGATGCAGGCATCTACCAGTGTGTGGCCACCAATAGCAAGGGGACAGCTGTCACTCATAAGGTCATGTTGGTAGAGGCTAGTAAGTATATGGGAATGTGAAAACTTAGTCAGTTCTGATTTAAAAGCCTTAGTAAAACCAGTTAAAATGTTTTTATGCACATTAAGTATTAGTAACTGAAAAACGAAAAGAGTGAAGGCTGCTTGATTGCATGATTTTCCCATAAAAGTATAGGTTCTCACAATTTCTATGCTCTTGCTCAGCTGTTTACAAATTGTTGTTATTGATTGCTGTAGTTGAGATGGACATACCAGCACAATCAGAAAAGACATCTCAACACAGCCAGTCCAGAATGCAATTATGTATTTGCTTGGCTGAATTTCTGAATTCGACTTCCAGTCCAGAATCCATTTCTGAACCTCCGACTGCAAGTGAAGAAGCCAGCAGTGGGTCAGCCATTTAAACTGGAGTGTGAAAATGTGCCCCAGACGTACCCTGAGCCAGAAATAACTTGGGAAGTGGAGAAGAAGAGGGGTTCAAGGAGGAGCAGTTTTTATATGAATGACAGAGTTACTCTAGACCATGAAGGTAATATTTGTATGTCATATGGTGTTTGCTAATAATATTTTAGTTAACCAATTTAGAGATGAGCTGTAATTAGGAGGATCCTTTGTCAAAGTTAAAGTAGTAATTTAGTTTTGAGTACATAGATCAAATATTTGCAAAATTATTAAACTCTGTGCATTAATTTAGATCTATTCTACTGATTAATTTGGATCAGACCCCATTATCTCAAGGTAATGTTCCCTTATTTATTCCATGTAAAACAGTAGATTTATGCATTTTGAGTAATGTAAAGTTAACAACTCTATATGCTGACATGTTGATATATTGTGTTATGTCTCAGAAACGAGGCTGCACTTTTACTCATATTATTCCATTTTCCCTTGGAGTCACTCCATGCATCACATGGCTGTGTTCATTAGCACTTTAGTATCTATTATCTGTTTTATTCCCAGGGAACTTGTACTTTGCCAATGTGATCCCAGATGACAGTATGAATGGCCGTCCCTACGCCTGCAAGGTGAACAACCCCTTCCTCAGGTCTAGCGTCATGGGGCCCAATGTGAAGCTGGAACCCTCTGGAACCATAAGTAAGTACAGTGGAGGTTCTCCCCCTCTCTCTCTCTCTCTCTCTCTGCTCTCTCTCTTTGCCCCTCCACTCTCTCTTTCTCTCTCTCTCTCAGAGAAAGCAAATTAAAAATCAAATCCAATATAACACAAAAGAGAGAACTTTATACAAGTTTTAGTTTCACCAACTTTGTGGAAATTTTAGACAAAAATTGTTCTCCCTGATCTCATACTAAGATTTTGTGTGCTTTCCATGTTTTTAAGACATTACCCATATAACTAAACCAAATATATGTTGATGATAGAGTACCATGATGGAAATGTATAACATTAAGTCATCATGACTGTTTTTTCCTTCCAGGCAGTGTGCTCCCTTATGCACCCATACTGCTGTGGTCCTCTCCCAGCAAGGTGGATGCCTTGAAAGACGATGTAGTGCAAATTAAGTGTATCTTTGGAGGCTAGTGAGTATACTTGGAAAAAACGTGTCAATAAGTCTGAAACATATCTTTTGTTTGACTTTCACTAGATTTCAAGGCTCTATTTATTTTTTTATTCAATAAGTAGTTGTTAAAAAAAATGAAGGGCTGTTGATTATTACAAATCTTACTGTTTGCCAGGATACACATCATTTGTAAGGTGTTAGGTTAAAGTTTTTATTATCTTTATGTCATCTATATTCTGTACAAATTAATCAATTTCTAAAGCAGGTAAACCCTAAACAGTTTAAGTAAACTTTATACACATTGGATTTTTTTGTACCTTACCTATCAGCCCTACACCAAGAATAAAGTGGTACAGAAAGAATGGAGACATCTCTGAGCCACTTAATGCCAGAGGATCAAGCTATGAGATTGAAGATTACGGCATGGCTGTCCTTTTCCCCAGAATCAGTTATGACGATGCCCAGAGGTACCAGTGTGTCGGCGAGAACACTCAGGGACAGTCTAGTCACGATATCGAGATTAGTGTAGAGTGTGAGTACATGTGGAATTCATTGACAGGATTCACAACAAGAGTTTTTTTTTGCCCAGAAATCTGTCTGAGCTTTTTAAAGGCTCGAAACTTGATCTTTTTCAGTTCCTGATAAATGTGATCTGGCCAGTTATACAGTGTAGTATATTAGTAGATGAAAAAGTATATTTTTAAAGGTTTTTGACAAATGAAAACCTCATACTTGTGGATAATAAATTTGCTTAGTATTAGCTAAACAAAAACAATCATAATTATAAAAGAAAGAAAAGAAAAGAAAAATGTACTGACAGTTTATGATGTGATGTTGAATCTTTCAGCTATACCTGAATTGGAGAAAGAACCAACCAACATTGATATAGAAGAAGCAGAAACTGTCAGGGTGGAATGTGTTGCTAAGGGGATGCCCACTCCAGTCACAGAGTGGTTTATTAATGGGAAACCACTGAAAGGTGATACTAACAGTACATTTTGTGACTCAGACTTGAGCCAAGTTAGCATTTAACATGGTGACATTTTTTTTGTTGTTGTTCTGAGAAAAAATGATAGGATTGCAACTCCATTTTACAAAATATAGTTACAAATATGAAAAATTAGTTTAATTTATCAGAGCATCACCTTGAAGCTGTGTAGGCTTTTCGTCTCTTTGAAAACTTACTTGCTACTCCATGTTTGTCAGGACGGGGGAATATGGAAACTATAATTTGCTTTTCAATAATTCCTGCATAGTGTTGACAGAAGAAACAAAATTTAAGAAAAAAATATCGACTAAAGGACTACACTGTAGATGTCAAAAATCACATTTTCTTGGAATTAGTCTGTTATTACAGAAAAGATACATGCACATTTTATTGATGCATGCTTCATGTCAAATGACAGTAGCTAGCTATAGGCCAGTAATATTTTGTAAATTTGTCCAGGTACTTGCCTCTTTTTGCTTTTTTCCCCTTGAATAAGACCCTTGTATCTCATAGTGCCTGTAGTTAGGCTGAAGTTTTAGCACAGATACTTGAAAACACAATTCAGAACTGAAAAGCTAAATGTCCTGTGGTGAATTAATCTTTTATACGTGATATTAACCTTTTCAGATGTTCCACTAAACCCCCGTAGAACCGACACTTTGGACTATATTGAGTTCACAGACCTGAGGAAAGAGGACTCTGCTGTCATACAGTGCAATGCTTCCAATGAGAATGGCTATGTATTTGTCAATGGATATCTTAATGTTATGGGTAGGTGAAAAGTTTTTGAAGATTCGCTTTTATTAGTTATCTTATTGAAGAATATAGAAACATAAAAATTTTAACAATTTTTGGACTTAATACACAATACCCATCAGGTGTGAGCAGAAATATAAACAACCCCCACAGTACTTAAAAAATTTCATCAGCATTATGGGTTATATATATATATTAAATCATGTGAAGTGAATTTTGTTGTTTGTTTTTCAGTGTCCTATAGATTACTGTCTGTAATTTGCATGTTACATAACTAATTCACATGGGGTGTTTATATTTTAGCTCAGTGTATTTCTCAAGTATTACAAGTAGACCACAGTGTTTGATCCTACATCCTATTTTCAGCTGAGGAACCCCACTTCATCCAGTGTCCAGAACCATCCGTCAAGAAGGTCGTAGGCGACTCTGCTAACATCACATGCCGTATCTTTGGAGCACCAAAGCCGGATATGACGTGGAAGCTGAAGGACGAGGTGGTGTCACAGGGCCAAGTGGGGACCACTGGTGGAGACGTGGGGGGAGCACGCTTTGTGAGAGAAGCCACTGGCAACTTGATCATAAAGGTAAGTATTTTCCAGGGGGCTTTTATAAGACAGCAGAAGATAATAAAGTATGGAATTTGGAGGAGGTCTCCATGAGCATTTAAGTTATACACTTTTAAAGTATCCAATATATATATATATATGTTGATGAGCTACTGTTAAAGGATAACTCATTTTAATAAACTGTAACATATGTATCTTGTAACAAACCTCTTTCTGCTCCCAAGTTTTGTTACATGCACTATTATCATTTACAACTGTTGAACAGGGCTGACAACCTGTTCTTTAAGATTCTTTGATTATTTGTTTTAATATTTCCATTCAGAACCTTGAGAAGGAAGACAGTGGGTTTTACCTGTGTGAAGCTGTCAACACGTATGGACATATTCAACAGTCTGGAGAGCTGATAGTCCGGTGTAAGTCACAGCCATGCTGGAATATAACTTGTTTATAGAGCTGTAATTTAATTGCTGTTATGGAAAGTGATTGATTGTGAACTAATTCAATTTGTAAGATGAGGAGTTGGAATTTCTTTTTTGTGTGTGTGCGTTATCCTCCTATACTTATCCATTGAAAATGGAATTTGAAATGAAAGGAAAAAAGAAAAAAAATGGAATTTAAAATGATATCTGAATTTTTAGCCTCTCTCTCATTATGTATCGTACACTCTTGAACATCATTCTTGTACCAAACCAACTTTCCATATCTGATTGGTGTAACTTTCAGATCCCACGGTGATAGACAACCCCCCTGGTAACGTAAGGGGCACAGCTGGGAGCGTAGTCACCATTAACTGCACAGCCAGCACTGACCCTGAGGAGGAGGAGAACCTCATTGTGACCTGGATGAAAAATGGAGTGAAGATTGACATCAAGAGTAACCCAAGATACAGGATGAGTGAGTTTGAAAAAATTTCACAAAAAGTGGACATGACGACCCTGTGATTGACTATTTTTTCTTTATGAAGAATGAAGTTAAAAATTGAATAATTTTTTAAATAGATAATGCTGGTAAATTATGAAAATACTCTTTTTGCATCATGTTCTCTTTTTTTCTCTTGTTTTATTGCCATCCTTTTCATTTTTGTCTAAAAAAAGGCAGTGGGTACATCAATAAAGAAAAATCAGCAAATTAGATAAAATTCCTTCCACAGCCATCATTTTCAATTTCTTTTAGATTTGTACAATTTTAAATAGATGGTTTTAAAATCTGTTCCCATTCAATGTTTCAGATCCAGACAACTCCCTGGTCATAGACCCAGCCTATGTCAGTGACACTGCAGACTTCAGCTGCAATGCCTCCAATGGTCTGGATTCTGTGGTCAAGTCGGGCAGTCTGGTGGTCAGCTGTAAGTATATGCTTGGTACCTAGTACTGAGCCATTCTTGTGTGTGTGTGTGTGTGTGTGTGTGTGTGTGTGTGTGTGTGTGTGTGTGTGTGTGTGTGTGTGTGTGTGTGTGTGTGTGTGTGAGAGAGAGAGAGAGAGAGAGAGAGAAGAAGAGAGAGAGAGAGAGAGAGT